GGCCAAATTTGGTCCCCGGGCCTGAGATTGACATGTCTGTAATAAACTGTAAAAACTTCTACTTCTCATTCGAGGCCTATTAAAACAACATTTGAGAGGTAAAAACTGTTTTCTGACAGGGTTAAAGCCGAACTTAAATGAGACCCAAGTTAAGGTTAGACTCTTTGTTCATCGTAGCTTTTCCTGGACTTTGGTCTTTTGTGTTCATAATTCATTCTAAAACCGTCCTGCTCCTGCTTATTGATGTATTTTCTGTCATCCAAACAAATGAAATGGACTGAGCAAATTGAAAAATACAACAGAAATGAACAGAAATGTTATATTATTATTTCAGTATATGATGTTTTGTGGTGGCAGTAGCTCAGTTGGTAGAACGCTCGTCCTCTGATCCAAAGGTCAGTGGTTCGAATCCTGCTCTTCTCTCTTATTGGTAGAGTGGCCAGATCCACTGACACACAGGTAGATGGTCTGATTCTAGCTCCCACAGATTAATACTGCTGTTGTGTTTGTAGACATTGATGTATGGATGTGTGTGTGTGACTGGGTGAGTGGTTTCTTGAGGTAAAGGTACAAAAGCTTTATACAAATGTGACCATTTATTTGTGCTTATTATTTGCTCATTCACGTTTTGTGCAATTCCTCCACCAAGATGTTTACATGTTAACATATTCCTGATTGTTAAAAAAAAGTGTCTGAACGTTGTTAAATGCATCACATTATTAAACATATTAATCTATGATCTATGTTATAATGTTGTTTCCTCATCACAAACATTAGCTGGAGTTGTGTTTTGTTTCACACACGCACATGTTTTACAACTACACAAACCCACGCGACGTACGAAATGGATGGGGTAGAGCGTACAGCGCAGCGTATGGGAGGGGGGAAAGTTGGACGGTCTGCATGACGTACGGGAGGGAGGACGGTCCACACGGCATATGGGAAGGGAGGTTCACGCATTCACGGACCTGTACCAAATGACCACGCCTGGCCTGGGGGTTAGGGACACCTAATTTAGATCATTTCAGCCCTGGAATGGCCAATCTCTACTGAACTAAAGGTAAAAGGCAACTTGAAAACTACCACTCTATGACGTCACAAGGTGGAAAAGAGGATTTTGAGCTTTGGAGATGCAGACAGACTTAAATGCAGCATTACTCAAACATGTATGAATGAAACAAAACACAACTCCAGGTCTGTTTTTGATGAAATAACAACATTCTAACATGGTTTAAAGATCACAAGAGTCCATTTTGCGTAATATAGGAGCTTTAATCACCATCTGAGAACCATATAAACACAACACATGGTAGCATTGCTCAGAACACGAGTCTATCTTGACTGTGAATCTATAATCCTCGGCGTTGGTTTGATCGCTCGCGGTGATCAGATGTATGGGCCGGCCTTGGGGGAGGAGAGGCTCAATTAAAAGGAGAACCAATCAGATTTGATCAGCGCTTCCCGTATCCCGGGGGAAATTAGCGCTGTCAGTGGTTGTGGCCAGTTCAGAAACCTGCATTACCTTATTCTCTCTGATCCTCGCGCAAATGAAAGCGGCATCGGAAAAGGCTGACTACGTGGGTGGCTTTGTGATGTTTTTTTTTTTTTTTTATACATTTATGCATCAGGAACAAAGTAGAACATTAACCTTTTACCCACTGCTTCAAATAAGTGTTTAATACTCTCACTAGGAGGCAGCTCATTGCAACTGAAAAGGAAATTAATAGAAGAGATTTAATATAAGGCAAGATCAATGGACAGGTTTACACTTAAAGTCACCTGCTTGCTTCTATGGAGATGTCACTGCTCTACCTGGAATGTTCCACAGTATGACATTAAACAGCTCTACCTTACATTTATTTCATTACAGGTGGTTTTATAGCTCAAAAATACCTAGGAAAACAGGCATTCTGACATCTGGCCAGTAACTCGGTCTGATTTGGTCTCCATGAAGATAGAAAGGTTTAATATCATACTGTGAAACATTCCAAACAAAGCAATATTATCTTCATGGAGACAAGGACCCTCCGCCAGAAAAGTTACACAATGCACCATTAATAATAATTTGTTTGTGCACAACAGTTAAAACCATTACTTACTCCATTTAGGACTTTGTTGATATCATCTCTGAGGTTGTATACGGTAAATGCAGTATACTCAATTCTAAACAACAATATAAAGCTCTGTTCCACCTTGTGATGTCATGTGGTAATACAGGAAGTGCACCAATATGATTTTAACACTCCACACACCTTCACTAGAATTATTTGGATGATTTCAACTCTGGAATTGCCAATCTCTACTAAACAAAAGTTAAAAGTTAGCTGTTAATTTGAAAACTACCACTATATGACATCACAAGGTGGAACAGAGCATTCTGAGCTTTGGAGATGTAGACAGTCTAATAAATAATAATACATGTTTACTCAAATAAATATGAATTAAACAAAAAACAACTCCATGTATGTTTTTGAGAATGTAACAGCATTATAACACGGCTTAAAGCTCACAGGAGTCAATTTTGCGTACTATATTGTGTATGTATTAAATGAGATCATCTTTACACATCGCAGACATGTCACCTTATGCCATTGTTTACTTTAATATTACACTAATGATTTTCTCTTTTTGCAACCTTTTACTGTTTATTTCATTATAGTACAGGGGTGGACAGTTATTTTTTTCCATGGGGCCAGAGAGAAACAGAAACTATTGTAGAGGGCCGGACCAAAAGGCTTAACTCAATTGTGTTTCTTTATAAAAAGCTGTAAATAGCATTGTTCTGATGAAAAAAACAAAAACAAACATCTCTAACACCTCTAAAGTAAAAAAAATGCAGCTTTAGTGCATGTAAATTCTAAAATGTTTATTTTGCAATTCCAAATTATCTTTAAACTGGCCGTCAGAGTCAACCAAAGGACCGTATGTAGCCCGTGAACTGTACAATGCCCAAGTCTGTTATAGTAGGACAAGGATGACAGCGACAATGACAATAACACCCAGCACCCACCAGCAACTACCAGCACCCACCAGCACCCACCAGCACCCACCAGCACCCAGCACCCACCAGCACCCACCAGCACCCACCCACTAACACCCACTAACACCCACTAACACCCACTAACACCCACTAACACCCACTAACACCCACTAACACCCACCAGCAACAACAACACTATTATAAATATTTCCATATAATCCCCATCTATACTTTACACCTCTGCGTTTAATTCCATTTCTTAAACCTCTCTATACATATTCATGGATTCATGGATCAGCTTTCTGTTAAATGCAACCTTTTGAGGACATTTTCCCATTCCAAAAGCGATAAATGTCGATTAAAATTGTTAATCACTACGGCAACTGTTCTAATTTCTCATCACTCTGAAATTCATGGATCCTGCATGCTTGCTTAAACACTGAAACAAGCAGGCATTCTTCTACTCTATACTCTGGGGAACGAGCTCGGAGGGGGAGGTGGCTGTTGATGGAATTGACTTTGTTTTTGTGGAGAGGTCGCGGTATTGAGTTGTCATCAGATTGAGGAGCGGGGAGGAGGGTTGGCACGAGGGGTACTGCTGGCACGAGGGGGGCATTGGCACGGGCAGCTGCAGGTTTGAGCCAAGAGTGAACAGGAAATACAGACTGTGAGAGACCACTGTTCTGCTGAGGCAAAGTCCATTTGTGCATTGTACAGTCAGGACCTGTCCGGATGTTTTACCGGTCAGCTTGAGTAAAGATGGAGGTCAGCTGTGTGCTCATTGGGGGGAAAAAAGCCGCTGATGTATTGCCCAGAGCTGGGGTGTGTAAAATATGAGCCCTTTTGCTTTATTGGCTCAACTGATCACAGGCAGAAGTTTTTACTGCAAATTTAACTATGTATCGTTTAACTTTTTTGGTGGAGAATCAAACGCTGTTCTCTGTGGAGATGTTATTGCTCTGCCTGGAATGTTTCACAGTATGACATTAAACAGCTCTACCTTACATTTATTCATTTGCAGGTTTTATAGCTCAAAAATACCTAGAAAAACAGGCATTTTGACTGTGAGTGTTGTTAACTTGCCACAGATCTGACCTGTAACTTGGTCTAGTTTGGGTTCCATGAAGATACAAAGGTTTAATACCATATTGTGAAACATTCCAAACAAAGCTAATTACCATAGTTTTCGGACTATAAATCACTTTGGAGTATAAGTTGCACCAGCCAATAATGAAGAAGATTGAAGAAGAAAAAAAAAATTATATAACTTGCACCAGACTATAAGTCGCTTTTTTGTGGGAAATTTATTTTATAAAATCAGACCAGGAACTGACATTTCATCTTGAAAGACAAGTTCTAGTAATGACAGTAGAACAGAGAACAACAGGTTGTTAAAGTCACATATAAACAGTTATTCAGATAACTATAACATAAACAACAGAACAGAACAAGTTTCTGAGTCCCAACAGGATGGTTTCAGTTGTCACTGAAGTCCAGGCTTTGTCGATACATCCAGCAACTTCCAGGAAAGTTGCATGATGCACCTGATTGTCGCAAGTTTCTCGCTCTCTCCAAACTTTCTTTCTGCTGCTTGATTATCATTTTTGGCTGCAGATTTCACTACTTGCAGCTTGTAATCTAGAAAATATGATTTTCTTTTTGGGGGGTATTTGTGTTCAGTCTTCTCTTTTTTTTTTTTCTAAAACCAGCACAACATCTGACCTTTGCCTGTGTCTGCATATAATTGTAAAAGAATGTATCAATTTGCTAAAAAAAAATCCTTGTATATCACCAATTTAACATTGAGATTGAGAGAGACCAGGCCACTATGTTATTGAATGAGAGCATTGGCTTATTGCGGTCCTTGTTTAACTCTCTGTAAAATCAGTTCTAAAGCTGTTTACATGTCCAGAAATACACACATGTGAATACTAGAAATGTGCTCACTGTTATAATGAAATGGCACCAGTCACCAATACTCTGCTGTCTTGTCTCTAATTTTTACCTTTTACGTTTGCAGAAAGTACAACATCCGTGTGGAGGACATCATGGTACGAGACGTGAGGTACATCACTCTGAACTGCACCTACAGAGACCTGCACAGTGTCCTGCTCACCGGCCAGCTCAAGACTCTGGCTCTGGTCGAGTCCGCTGGTAAATATACGCTTTTAATTACACAATGGAGCTCAAAAGTGAACACCCACACTCCCGCCTACACAACCAGATTTCTTATTCATTTTTCTCCTAGACTTTCTGAAATAAATAATAATTCAGAGTTTAACAGGTTGCTTTGGAACTAAATTTCTAATTATTTTTTTCTCATAGACTTTCTGATTATATGTATATTTTTTAATTAATAAAAGTTTGAAAGCTTGCTTAGAGCTACGTGCTTACTACTGACCACAACACCTATAATTGTATGTAAAATGCATTTCTGAAACTTTATAAACTACAAAGTAATTAAAACATTTCACAGAATCTTGCTTTTTAAATGTGCTTTTTGGACTGAAAAGTTTATGGGAAAAATTAATGGAAAATTTGCTTCCAGATGTGGAGCAGGTGGTCACTGTAGATCCATATGTTAAAGAGGATAAAGTCAGGGATTGTGACAGAATGGTCTACAACAATGAGAGTTAAAGGTGCACTATGTATTTGCTCTGATGGTTGTTTCCATGGAGATCGTATTACTGTGCCTGGTTGTTCCCCAATATGGCATTAAATTACTATATCCATAACTTTGATATTATACAGAATGAACGTGTAATTTGTCTTGATGCCGTCACTGTTGTCTCCATGATGGTAGCAGTTTAATGCCATACTGTGGAACAATGCTTACCCTCCACCAGAAAAGTTACACAGTGTACATTAATGTTGTAGTCAAGATCGCACTAATCTAGAACAAGACCAGTCCAAGTCCACAGGGTCCCGAGACCAGGATAATACCAAGACCTCTGAGGGTCGAGACTGAGACAAGACCAAGACTTTTAAAGGTCAAGACCGAGACAAGACCGAGACCACGGCCCATCGAGACCAAATCAAGACCATATTTGTCATGTCCTACCATATTATTTTGACACATATGTTTTTATAAATCTATCTCAGTTTTATCTGATTAATGTTCATTGAGGCCTAAAATAAGCCAAGCAAACTGTACTGCACTTAAACACTCTGCACACCTTTTTTTGAACCGTCACCCACAGTTTGAGAACCCCTTCTTTAATCCTGCTTCCACTGGCACTGAAAACAGAAAACAACTTCACATTTAATCAAGTGGGCTTTTTCAAGTTGCACTCGCCAAGTGTCAGACCTCGAGTCCGAGACAAGACCGAGAGCAAGCGCCATCAAGACCGAGCCAAGACCGAGTCCAAATGCGCTCTAGTCCGAGACCAAGCCCGTAAAAATGGACTTGTGTCATATGAAAGCTGTATAAAATGAGGGTTACTCTGAGGCTGGAATCTTGTACCATAGAATTTACTTCTTACAATTGGAAAATTTAGTAATGAAAAACTGAAAAGGCTTGAAGTTTGTGGTCATTTTGAGCTGCAATCTATTGAAATCTACTTAAATAAAAAATAATAGTGGGTCTGTGACAGCAGTACAGATCTTGTTGTTTGGTTTGTTTGATTCTATTTTAATTTAGCCTCTGTTTTACACCAGATGCCCTTTCTCTCTCAGTCGTTTACCATGCTTGTAATAACAGCAAATTCACCAGTTTCTGACCACTTTTCAGAGTTTAATATGATAATGTATTTAAGTCATTTCTTGTGGTTTATTATTAGACCCTAAATGGAGTTTTTGTTGACATTACTGATGCACTGAACCCCGCGTCCGTTCCAGTCTGTACCCAAACAAAGCCTCCTCCCCATGGCGAGCTCATTAAAGCCTGATTGACGAACTTTCCCTGATCCTGATGTGCTGATGGCTGTTCTCCACACAGCTCTCACTGCACATTTAGTATTCCAGGGGCGTCTCAATTATGCAATGGTGCAGGAACAATTAGCCACGGCATTTAGCCAAATACATAATCAGCACGTACTGTCACAAAGACAATTACTTAAAGCAAACTGCACCATACACACACACACATGCACAGACACACTCCAATGAGGCATGTAAGTTACACACTGTGAGCTTATGTAACCTGCAACAGTGACACACACTTACATTTCAATATCTTAAAGTCAGTTTGAATTGGGAACATCAAAACAAAACACAAAATCAAGGCTCAATATATTGAAATTGGATAAAAACTAACAATTATTTCTGCATTTCGTGCATTTACATTTGCATACATTTTTAACCAAATAAAGGCTGAAATATGGTGATGGAAGGCTTCAAGATATAGAATATTTACAAGTATATTTAATAAGTGAAAATCACAAATTGCGTTTTAGTTTTTTTCTTTTTTTAACATTTTGATCCAATAATTCTGCTGCCATTATTATAAAAGACATCTGTCATATCTTTTTAATAGCCACAGTGTATTTCCTCATTTTGCTTAGGTTTGTTTAATTTACACTACTGGTCAAAAGTTTTAGAACCCCACACTTTCCTTCTTTTTTTTTTTTTTTAACAGAAAATTATTCAGTTTATTTTTATTGTGTCATTGCACTCTGAAATGAAAGCATAGAACAAATAAGTAATTTAAGTTGAAAAAGAAATCATTGAATCAGTTTATAGACCAAAACGTATTCTAAACTTCTGACTCCTCTAAGTGTCCACCTTTGGCAGATAGAACAGCTGAACACACTCGTGGCTCGTTCTTTTTACAATAGAAATCAATTATTCTTCAGAAAGTTCTTCCCAAGTCTGTTGCAGAAGTTCCCATAAATGTGTAGCACTTGTGGGCTGCTTGGCTTTCTGTCCAGTTCATCCCAAACCAGCTCCAGTGGGGTTTAAGTCTGGAGACTGTGCTGGACACTCCATGTTTTCCAAGCTTTACTGTCTTGTTCTTTTTTCCTGAAGTAGTTTTGGCAGAGCTTGGCTTTGTATTTTGGGTCATTATCTTTTTTTTTTAAACCTCTGTCTGTTCAGTTCTTACCTTTGTACCTTTTCAAGCTCTTCATTGGACTTGCATGACTTGAAATGCAATAAATAACTGAAAAAATGATGGTGTTCTAATACTTTTGACCTGTAGTGTAAGTAAAGGCCAATTAGTTGGAGTTGCTCTAGTCCTGGTCCAGTCCTGTTTTATTTAATGTCAGTTTGTTTAGATGTTAGTGAAATCCTGGTTTGAGTTGAGTAACCTGTGTCACCTCTAAACTTCCTCTTTATATTAAATGCATTATTCTCTCTGCTCTCTCAGAGTCGATGATCCTGTTGGGGTCCATTGAGCGCGCCCAGCTCCAGTCCCTCCTGTCACAGCAGCTCGGTCGCCCCCGACGACTGGAGTACATCAAGGAGCGCGCAAACGAAGACAAGAAGAAACGTTTGTCTGTGGAGTCCAATCAGACCAGCGATGACCACAGCCAGCGTGCCAGTCAGGAAGTCCGCTTTCAGGTACAATATCAGAGTAGCCACGGCAATTAAAGGTGCACTGTGTAACCTTTCTGGTGGAGGGTCTGTCATTAGCTTTTCTCCATGGAAATGTTACCTGGAATGTTCCACAGTATGGCACTGCGCTTAATTATCTCAATGGAGATAGCAGCAGTTATGTTTCAGGTCTGTGGGGAGGTGAGCACACTCACAGTAAGAATGCAGGTTGTTAAGTTAATACAAAAAAACAAAAACAAAACATGCTATCGAGTAAATGCAAGATGGATAGGTTTAATGCCATACCGAGGCATTACAGACCAAGCAACAGCATCTCCACGGAGACAAGCAGACGATGGACTCTCCACCAGAAAAGTCACATATTCCACCTTTAAATTTGTGGAATTATAGATCCTCTGTAAACTTTCCGAACCAATGGTAAATACCGTATTTTTTGGACTATAAGGCACACTTAAAATCCTTTAATTCTCTCAAAAATCATCAGTGCTCCTTATAATCCAGTGATCCTTATATATTATTTGTGGTAGTGCTTACTGACCTCGAACGGTGGTACACGGCGCTCAAAAATCTGTCAAAATGTTTTAGTACGACTTTGGTAAGCTACAAAGCCATACCGCTTGATGGATGTCGGGGCATTATGGCTACCGTAGTCAGGAGCTTCGCAGAGTAATAGCACCAAGTCAGGGAGGTAAAACCGGCAAGTTACGCCACAGTCTGCCAATATATCATGGACGCCTGGGCTAAGGGATCAGTCTCTAGTGTCGTGCGAGCTTTCACAAAGGCCAGAATCATCACTGACTTGGATGATGATGATGAGAGGGATCCAGGCTTGATGCTGAAATCACTCAACTGTTAAACTCAGAGAGTGAAGATTAAGAATTTGATGGATTTGTGGAAGAGGAATTAATGGAAAATACAGTTTACAGTCAACAATAAATTCTAACAACCCTAACCCTTCTATGTGTTACAACTGAACAATGCTGAGAGTTGTTGTGAATGAGTTGAAAAAGTTTGACTTATCTGACTGTTTTGCTTCGCTTAATGTGCCTTATATTCCGGTGCACCTTTATAGTCTGAAAAATACTGTACAGTAAGTATCAACATTTATGGGTTTCTTATTCACTTTCTACATAGGAGCCATACTTGCCTTTTTTTTTTTTTTTTTTATTAGAAATCAACCAATGTATGTTAGAAATATATTATCAAAATCCATTTGGCACAGTGTTTCTCAAATGGTAGTAGGCGAGCTCTTTCAGGTACAACTTGCCACAATTAACGGTTCAATTTATCCACTTTTTAGTTGTTCTGTGATACTGTATAATATCTTGTGTAGAACTACAGTGGAAATGATGAAATCCATGTTTAGATCTGATTTAGCCCTAGATTAATCCTGGAATAGTCCTGTTGTGTACTTGAATTAGATCTGATTGTACTCCAGAAGTATTTTTCGCGGTACTTGGTTTGAAAAGTTAACTTGACGTAACGTAAGCAGTACTACAGTATGACCCTGCCCTCCTTCTGAGTCACTGACAACATCCTAGAACGCCAACACGGTCTATTCAAAAGTTATTCACAATTTCAGTTCGAGTGTTCAGAAAATTGACAGGTGGAAGGTCAGACATCTTGTTACTTGTGTCGGATTTGTTAAGATCGCATTTAAAAGTCAGGAGAGGGAGGATGACGGCAACACGATTCAAGGTCGGTATCAGCATGTGCATTTGGAATCAGAAGCTTTTTGGCGGAAATTTTGTGATGTGAAACCAAAACAAAACATGGCTTTCAGACTCAAAAAGCCCTCACTAATCGTTTTTGTGTTTTGGCTTACATAATAGTATTAGAATAAATTAGGGGCGCATGTTTTTGCTCTTCAAGCGCTTTACTCTGGCCTGCCAAATTTTTAATGAAAGTTTACCAGTTTGAAAATAGTCTCCAGATACAGCCGTTGTAGTGAACTTTTGGTGAACTTTTTTTTTTTTTTTGGAGATTCATTTAAAGGTGCACTGTGTAAATTTTTTTTCAGCTCTATGTGACCTGTATCGATCTATTAATGACACTCTGAATGACATAGATCTGATTTTTTTCCTAAAACCGATACATATCAGATTTTTTCACATGTGACTTCAGTCTGAACGGCCAAGTCACATTCATCCCACCTACACGTCAGGCTCGGAGTTTAGTAAATGGAGGGAAAGTGAGGTTAGCGAGTTTATATTATTTATATTTGGGGGGATCGCTGTATTCAGGTCAAATTGGAGGGGTCTAGCGTCGCAACTGGGCGTTTTTTTTTTAAGAAATGTCTGAGCGTGGCTACAGGCGGTCCTGGCTCCAATGTCAACAAAAAATAAAGAGCCTGAGAGCCAAATACAAGGAGGCTAAAGACTCAAACAAATGAAGCGGCCGTGGACGTGTAACCTGTCCATTTTTACGAAGAACTGGACCGTATTTTTGGAGACGAGCCCAGCGTTTAGGCTACTTCTGTAAACACTGAGCACGCTCGCTGTGTGTGACGTCGTCGTGTCCTCCAATGTGCATGTGGGACACTTTTGGGGCATTTGACTTTCACACTGGAGATCACATACAAGTCGCATTTAATTGGAAATTTGAACAACCTTGCCAAAAAATCGGATTTTACAAAAAAAACTAACAAAAACTGAGCATTAAGCCCTGCAGTCTGAACGTAGCCTTTTTTGTGAAGAGTCCGTCACCTGCTTGTTTCTATGGACATGTCATTACTCTGCCTGGAATGCTCCACAGTGTGACATTAAACTGCTTTACAAAACAGCTTTCCAAATTACAGGCAGTTTTACAGCTCAAAAATACCTAGAAAAAGTGGGGTCACCTTTCCACAGATTTGACCTGTAACTTGGTCTGACTTGGTCTCCATGAAGCTAGAAAGTTTTAATGCCATACTGTGAAACAGTATAAGCAATAACATTTGTTACATCTGTTTGTCTCAATTACTGCTCTATTTCTTTGTCTAGTATGTTCCACAGTGTTGCATTAAACTAATCTATCTCCATGAAAATATAGGTGAAAAAAAAACAGGTCACAATTCGGGTCACTTTTCCTGAGAAGCTTTAGATCCAAAAAGCAGTGCTACAATCACAGAAATATATAAAATAAAGTCAGTCAGTTTACTCTAACTAATGTCAAAATCTCATCTCGTCCTGTTCTTGTGGACCTAATCTCTTGTTTTGTTTCGTCTTGTAAAAAATGTCTTATCCCATCCCTTTCTAGGTATGATTTAAAAAGACAAATAACGGCGGCTGCAAATACTCTAGTTAAAAATGAATTTTCCCATGCCATGTTGATATGTTACAATATACAAGGTACAGCCCCTTGAGTACTTTTACTATCAGTACTTCTTACGGTCTGTTAAATTCTTCATGCTGCTATTTCGCTGTAGTTTAGTGAATATTTTCTCTGTTTGTTGTTTCAGATCTCCACCGAGGAGTCGTCCGTGAGTCCCTCTCGCACTAGTCTCCAGAAGCCCCTCAAACCTGCCTTAAAAAGATCGTCAACGGTGGAGCGACCAACAGAGCTCCCAACAAGTAAGGCTTCATGTTCTGTATCATACTTCTAATGTATCTGACATTTAGTCATAACTGCATTTTTGAAGGTCCACTATGAAACTTTTCTGGTGGAAAGTCTGTCACCTGCTTGCCTTCGTTTTCCTCAAAAAAAAAAAAAAAAAAAGCAGTAGGATGTTGTAAATTATGCAGTCACAAGATTTGCCAGTCAATAAAAAACAAAATCCTGAAATAGAAGCTTTGATAGTAAAATGTGTGGGTACTTGCGTATGTAAAATGTTCGAGATGCCAGAATCGCTCGTTTACATTTTGTCTTTGTTTTCTGCCCACTTTATTTCACACTTTCTTTATCCTTGGCCTGTGTAAAAACCTGTTCTGTCTTTCACAGCCAGAGCCTTGGATCAGTTCTTTGTTCAGACTCCAAGCTCAGTGGCAGGATTTCTCTCTCCCCCGTTTTGTCTTTCTCCATCTCTTTCTTTACCTCTTTCTCTCTCCCTCGCTCCATCTTGTCCTCTCTCTCTCTTTACGCTCTCTCTCTATTCTCTCTTCCTCTTTCCCTCAGTCTCTCTCCCTCTTTCTCTTTCCCTCGCTCCCTCTCTCATACTTTTTCCTCTTTCTCTCTACCCCCTCTCTCTCTTGCTCTCTCTATATCCTTTCTTCATTCTGTCTTTTTTCCTCAGTGTCTCCCTCTCTTTCTCTCTCCCCCTTTCCCTCTCTCTCCTCTTCCTCTTTCCCTCTCCCACTGTGTCCATGTTTCTCTTTTCTCTCTCTCCTTCTCTCCCTCTATCCTCACTTGTCCCCTCCATCTTGTTCTCTCTCTTTACCCCTTCTCCCTCTCTCTCTTTCTTTTTCTTTTCCTCAGTCTCCCTCTCTCTCTCCCTCTTTCCCTCATTCTTTTTCTCCCCTCTCTCTCCCTCTCTCACGCTCTCCATCTTTCTTTCTCCCGATCTCTCACTCTCCCTCTCTCTCTCCCCTTCCTCTCAGTCTCTCTCTCCCTCTCTCCCCCTCCTTCCCTCAGTCTTTCTTCCTCTCTCCCTCTCTCCTCATTTTTCCCTCAACTCCCCCCTCTCTCTCGCTCCCTCTCAGTCTCTCTCCTTCTCTCTCTCCCCTTCTCCCACTCTCCTTCTCTCTCTTCTCCCCTCTCCCTCTCACTCTCCTCTCCTCTCTCTCTCTCTCCCTCTCTCCTCTCTCTCTCTCTCTCTCTCTCCTCTCTCCTCTCTCCTCTCTCTCTCTCTCTCTCTCTCTCTCTCCTCTCTCTCCCTCTCTCTCTTCTCTCTCTCTCTCTCTCTCTCTCTCTCTCTCTCTCCTTCTCTCTCTCCCCTCTCTCTCTCTCCCTCTCTCTCCTCTCTCTCTCTCTCTCTCTCTCCTCTCTCTTCTCTCCCCTCTCTCTCCTTTCTCTCTCTCTTCCTCTCTCTCTCTCTCTCTCTCCTCTCTCTCTTCTCTCTCTCTCTCTCTCTCTCTCCTCTCCCTCTCTCTCCTCTCTCTCTCTCTCTCTCTCTCTCTCTCTCTCTCTCCCCCCCTCTTCTCCTCTCTCTCTCCTCTCTCTCCCTCTCTCTCTCTGTCTCTCTCCTTCTCTCCCCCCCTCTCTCTCTTCTCTTCTCTCCTTCTCCCCCCCCTCTCTCTGTCTCTCCCTCTCTCTCTCTCTCCCCTCTCTCTCTCTCTCTCCTTCTCTCCCTCTCTCTCTCTGTCTCTCTCCTTCTCTCTCCCTCTCTCTCTCTCTCTCTCCTCCTCTCTCTCTCCCCTCTCTCTGTCTCTCCCTCTCTCTCTCTCTCTCTCCCTCTCTCTCTCTCTCTCCTCTCTCTCCCTCTCTCTCTCTGTCTCTCTCCTTCTCTCTCTCTCCCTCTCTCTCTGTCTCTCTCCTTCTCTCTCTCCCCCTCTCTCTCTCTGTCTCTCCCCTCTCTCTCCCTCCTCTCTCTCCTTCTCTCCCTCTCTCTCTCCCTCTCTCTCTGTCTCTCTCCCTCTCTCCTTCCCTCTTTCTCCCTCCCTCTGTCCCTGTGGTGTGAGAGGAAGTGTGGAGTGGTCCACTTGTTGGCACAGAGGAAACACAATCTGTCTCGTGTGTGGTGCCAGCTTTGAGCCTGTCCACTGTCACTGGACACTGTCACTGGACACTAGGACTGGCCTGGACTCTCGTTTTTCTTGTAAAAGCAAAACTCACATTAGTAGCATATTTCCCAACTTCAGCTCACTGAGTTTAACAACCCAGACATATGGTATTGCTTTGGCTGGAATGTTTCACACGATGGCATTAAACATACTGTATATACTGGACTCTTGCTGTGAGCAGGAACGCCTCTCCACAGCTCTGAACTGTAACGTGGCATCACCAGCTTTCATGGAGCCCGATTTAATGCCATACTATGTACTTTTCAGGTAAAACAATAGCAAACAGGCTGTGGTCGTTGGTTAAGAAAAGTTACATAACGTGCCTTTAATCATGACCAAACATTTGTGGATGATTTGTTGTCATCATTTTATTTTATTTTATTTTTTACTTGAACTTGTTGGAAAAATATTGAAGTATATAGTATTCAAATTATAGTGTAGCATTGTTTAGTAGTACGTATAACAGTAGTAATAATTAAAACTAGTATTTGCAGTACAGAAGTAGTGTATCAAAAGCCACTGTACTTGTGTACTTGATTGACCACCACCGACACTCACACACACACACTTTCATACTAGTGGGTGAAGTGTCTTGCCTAAAGACACGATGAGAGAACTCAGTAAGTAATCTATCCTCCGACCGCTCTAGCCACTGAGGTAGAATGTGGATCAGGCAGATTTTTTCTGTCCGAGCCCGGCCCGTGTCCGACAAAGCAGTGTTTGAATTCGACCCGAGCCCAAGAGGCATGAAGATATTTTTATATGTGTCCGAACCTGACCCAACCCGACACAGTTAAAATCACACTATTTTCATAAGCCTAGTAATAACACACGTAGGATATTGCTCATGTGGCCTCTAATGGACACAGAGGCGCAAATACAAACTCAGGATATAGCAGAAATATAATGAGAAGACTTTATTCCTCACCTCTTGTAAAGTGGTACATTTAAAGTACAGCATCTCATCCAATATTATCCAAAGAAATTGTCCTCCACAAATAATGACATCTAGTCCACAAAACATCGCAGTTAATCCAGTTTGAGGCAGGATTTTAAAGTAAAAAGGCGAAAGTAGTTCACATGTGTGTGTTTACATCCACACAGCACACAGATTGAGATGAAGCTGCAGATTTGCGATAGTGACTCTACTTCCTGTCTACTTTATCGCCAATCTTTTATGCTTTACAAATCACGTATTTGAAGTATTGCTCCGAGTTTCAATTTTGACTTGTAGCTAAACTAGAAGTGCAGCGCTCTGATCTTTTGAACACTTAAGAGTCTCAAAGCGAGTTTTACTGTAGACAAGAAACAGCAGACGTGCTGAGATATCAGAGTCTAACCTAAGACCAAATATAAGTTCTAAATATCTGTCCGAACCCATCAGTTTTCCAACAGGTCCCATCAGACTTTGGTCAGCTTTCCATGCTCTACACTGAGCCTCCGGTGAATACTTTTTGTGGTTTATATCTGCTCTTGTTTTCTTCAGCAATATATCAAACTACAAAATGTGTTATCATGACTGGCAAACCACTATTTACCAAAAAAAAAAAGGTAACCAACTGATCGGATTGTTTTGTGGGGAATTACGCCAACAATGTGAAAACTCTAAAGGTAAATTTGAACATTACTATTAAAATATCCATAGAAAACCTACATTCTGAGTCTTGCCCCTTTACATAACTCTGCCTCATGTCCAGCATATTGTGTTTGGGTTTGTAAGATGTGATGGTCAAACTCTGATGGCTTTTGAATAGAGGAAATGAACCCAGACATTTGGTGCAGATAACAGGAGATGGTGGTTACGTAACTCGGCACTATTAGCTCTATCTACTTCAAAGCAGCCCCCATCACGAACAGTTTCTTTGAATGATGGTCCAAGAGGTCAGAGCTTTCAATTTATTATGAAATGTTACATGTACATACGCAGGTCTGATGTAACTTCTCCTCTTTGTCTGAAAACAAGCACCATGTGTTTTAACAAGTGATTTTTGGGTGAATACTGTTAATGTGGAGTTAAGAAAAATACACACAATAACAGAACACTAAAAGAGTTGTAATTATAGAAATAGTGAAAGGTGTACTTTTTCATGGGGGTCTGCAATTTTCTTGTTCCCATGGATATGCTTTTTCTTTGCCTGGAGTGTTCCACAGTATGGCATTAAACATAAATATACTATCAGTCAACAGTTTCGACTCACCCTATCATTCAAGTGTTTTTTTTTTTTTTGGGGTTTTTTTTTGTACATTTGATATACAGTTTTTTTTTACTGTTTACTGTTGACCAAAATTCTAAACTTTTGATTCATGAAAGTGTCCACCTTTGGCAGATAGAACAGCTGAACACACTCGTGGCTCTTTCTTTTGACAATAGAAATCAAATATGCTTCAGAAAGTTCTTCCCAAGTCTGTTGCAGAAGTTTCCATAAATGTGTGGCACTTGTAGGTTGCTTGGCTCTCACTCCTCTGTCCAGTTCATCCCAAACCAGCTCAGTGGGGTTTAAGTCTGGACACTGTGCTGGACACTCCCATGTTTTCAAGCTCACCATCTTGTTCTTTTTTCCTGAGGTAGTTTTGGCAGAGCTTGGACTTGTGTTTTGTATCTTTTATCTTTTTTTATCCTCTGTCTGTTCAGCTCTTACCTTTGTACCATTTCAAGCTCTTCATTGAACTTGCCCGACTTGAATTGCAATAAATAACTGGAAAAATTAGGGTGCATAATTCCATATATCTTACTTCATATATGTCTGACATCTTCTGTATGTATAAAAACAAGTAGTAAAATAACAGTTGACATGTTACAGTTCAGATCTATGGAGAGGCAAGCCCACTCAGAGTAAAGGTCGTTTTATAGTTCTACATCCACTCAAAACAACTACTTCAACTGCCTTGTCGCTTTGTCATCGTCGTTTTTGATTTTTGCATTGAGGTCAAAGTAGGTGCAATGTAATTCACAACGTGAGGAGGCTTGGATTTAAAAATGGCATTCGTGTATACAAAATGAAGTGGAAAAGTGGAGTACCGTAAATGTTTGTAGAGTGGTGGCAGAGAGGACCAATCACAGCCCTCAGTCTCACATGTAGTTAAAACATTTCTGAGGTTCATGTTGGAGGGAGTTGAAAGTGATGCTGGTGATTTGAGGCACAACCATGAACTGGGCTTAAGAATGTATTTTTCAAGGTATTTTTTGGCATTTAAAACACCTGTAACTGAATAAATTGAAGATGGATAAGTTTAATTCCATTCTGTGAAACCTCTCCTTGGAGACAAGAACAAGGCAGATCCCACACCACAAGAAAATTTGCGCAGTGCACCTTTAAACATAAGTGAATGCACTGGGAAATTTGTGGAGTTAAAGGTGCATTGTGTAACTTTTCAGGTAGCTGCTTGTGTCTGTGGAGATGGTATTACTTTATCTGAGTGTTTCACAGTGTGGCATTAAACTTATCCTTCTTCCACTCATGCATTTATGGGTATTTTTGTTCCTCAAAGTACAAGCACACCTACAGTCTGCAGGCCGTCCTCTACACAGATCTGACTGGTATCTTGCTCTGGTAGCGTCTCCCACTTGTTTCCATGGAGATGTTTCAGTTTCATAATATACTGTGAAGGGTTCCAAGCAAACCAATTATATGATCAGAGACAAAAACGTAGGCAGGCCCTTCACCAGAAACGTTACACGGTGTGAGGTGATTTTTTTGTGGTTGAAAATAGAACAAAACGGTGCAATCAAATAGAAAGCTGAAAACTTATGTTTATTCTTTGTATTGTAACATTGCGTTTTGTCTTGCAGGTCCACAGGATCATTCAGGAATCGCTTTGAAGAATTTGTTTTGTGCCAGTCCAGACGCCGAAGCTTTAGAGGTGAGACAGTACTTCCTAAAAACACACACACGGATACAGTACTTTGCAAAATAATTTAGCTATAAAACCCTATTTCATAAAAAGCTTTACAAGACCTAAAGTGCTCCATATGTTTGTTGGTCCTCTGGTTAATTTATATTGGGCTAATGTGTACGACTGAAGCTTAAAGGTGCACTATGTAACTTTTCGGTTGGAAGTCCGTCACTTTCTTGCTTCTATGGGTATGTCATTGCTCTCCATTGAGTGTGTGTTACACAGTGTGACATGAAAATGACATACAGGTGGTTTTATAGCTCAAAAATACCTAGAAATACAGACATTCTGACTGTGAGCGGGGTCGCCTCTCCACAGATCTGACCTGTTTCTTGGCACAGTTTGGTCTCCATGAAGATAGAAAGGTTTACTGCCATACTGTAAAATATTCCATACAAAGCAATAACATCTCCATGGAGAAAAGCAGTTTGCAGACCCACCATCAGAAAAGTTACACAATGCACCTTTAAATATCAGTGTAATTGTTGATTTGGAGTGCCGTTTGTAGGTACGTTTGTAAGTTTTTTTATGAAGTTGGCAAAAGAAGAAATTCAATTTGTCAACTGGACAAAAAATTATAATAATGTGTTAATATATTAATATGACCCCACACTCAGTGCAAGTTCAATAGGCCTAGCTAACTAACAAATTGTAAACTAGTAGGTGTGTTAGTTTCAGAGTAGTTTCAGTGTAGTTAGCTCCTCCACTCAGGCAGATATATGGAAGTGTCCACCAGCATCTGACCAGAACTGAAAAAGCAGCTTGGATGAGCTGCGAAACGTATTCAACCAAAATAAACTTTTGTCCAGTTGACAAATTTAATTTCTTCTTTTGCCATGGATTCTACATGACAACTGACGGATTCTACACACTTTTTGTAAAGTTGAAGTCTTTGGTACAAAAAAACGGCACTCCTTTTCCAAACAAGTCCCTTAGCTAAGTACTAATTTTATCCATCAAACATCTAAATACAACAGAAATGTCAAACACATTTCTTTCATAATGTGACTGAGTTTAAAGGTGCACTATGTAACTTCTAACTTCTCTACTTGCCTGTCTTCATGGAGATATTATTTCTTTGTCTAGAATGTTCCACAGCAGGGCACTATAAAAACAAAAATCTTCCTTGCATTTGTTCAATTGCAGTTGTTTTATAGCTCAAAATAGCTTAAAAACTTGAATTCTTACTTGCACAGGCTTGCCTCTCCATAGATCAGCCCATTAACCTGTCTCCATTGGGATTACCAAGTTTATTTCCATACTGTGGAATAATAATCACGGCAAAACAGTAATATCTCCATGGAGACAAACAAGTGGCAGACCCTCCAAAAGAAAAGTTACACAGTGCACTTTTAACCTTATTTTGCAAATGTTTTCTCTAATGACTAAAACTTTTCCACAGCACTGACTGTAAACAATTTTTAGAACTTTTATCGTTAGAATAATTACATGCAAATTCCTATATACAGTGTGTTTTACTGTGCACTTCCTCCTACATTCTCTCCAAGCATGAACAGAATTTTGGATTTGACCTCCATTTTAAATCCTCCCTACTTTGTCTCAGCCCCCGGCAAAGCTTAAAAGAAAACCCTCTTTTCTGCTCCAGCACTTTTCTGTAATAAATGATTCATATTTCCCAAAGCATTGCAGTGAAATTCGATACAACTCTGTCCTAAAAATTATACAGAGGTTCTTAATGCTTTTGTCTTATGTCACTGTAAAGAAAAACAACAACAACACTTTGGAAGTCCCTATATCTCCAGAGCACAGGAGACCATCCAAACGAGTCCGGATTTCTGTTGTGGTAAGAGCCGCCATTTTGGGGCTGTCGAACGCCCCAAATCCGCCCGGCAACAGGTTCATCACAATCAGCCAATGGTCATCATCATCATCGTCATTTCATCTCGAGCTAATTTCAAGTTTGCCGATGGACTATGATTGGGCGAAAGTCTAAGCAAGTCCATGTCATCGAGCCATAGAGAACTGAACAATCTTGTCCGACCTATAGCGCCACCTACTGACCATACTGACCGTACTATTGTGATTCATAAGCATCAGATTAACTCAAAGTGCATACGACAGGTTTTGATGATTCTGATTTTGACGTAATTTATTGGCGTAAAACCTGTTGTAAATCATAAATTATAGTTTTACACCAATCAACAATCGATTTGTGAAGAAAAGTTGAAAAAATATGTTGAAAATTACAGGAAGCAGAACATTCTTCTTTAGACTTTAAACATTATTCAAACAAAATAAAGCTGCTTTCTTATATTTTTATTTATTAAATAATAGTTTCTGTGCACATTAGAAGACTTTTGACCCTGTGTACATAACGGTTGCTAGGGAACAGCTATGGAATTTAATACGGAGACATCATAAAGCAAGTAGTTATAGAGAATATTTGACCACCACATCCAAACACAAGCAAAATAAAGAAGTTTGCAATTTTAATTATGCATATATTTAGTTGTGATTAAACATAAAGCTTCACAAACCAGTGTGTTGAAGGCACATAATTTTGGACATAGGGCCTCATTTCCTAGTGAGCCAGAGTGTTGGAGACGTGTGGAGACACTTTTTAAATATTCCATCCAGTCCTTGTATTTGCAGAAGACACTGGTAGACTAGTGCATGTCAATGGCCATACTTAGCCTGCCACTAAAAACAGTCTTACCCACTCCACAAAACACCTAAAGCACAACAATTATAATGCCAGACTGTCAATGTGAATATCTGTGTTGATAGAATAATGTTTGAAATAAAATGAATTGTCGCATGTTGAGGGATTATTTTCTCAGCAGCAGCGGAATTTTACTTTGCCGGTAAGATAGGAGCTAGGTGATATCAGTCCGCTGTTGCCAAGCTTTCTATCAGGAAGTACAACTCACTGCTGCTGCTCAGACATAAATCCTTCAAACGCAAGGTGGGTTTTACTTCTAAAATTATTCTATCAACACACATAATAATAGATTTGCTTCAGGTGTTTTATGGAGTGCGTAAGACTGTTTTTAGAGGCAGGCTAACTATGGCCATTGACATGCACTAGCCTAGCACCAGTGACCTCTGCAAATACAAGGACTGAATAGAATATTTTAAAAAGTGTCTGGACATGTCTCCAGCACTCTGGCTCACTAGGAAATAAGGTCCTATGTCCAAAATTGCGGACTGTCCCTTTAAACATTACACTGTCGATATTAAATTACCAAAAAGATTATACTACAATATAACTAATGAAACCAACTCTTCCTACTCTTATTAAAAGTCCTATATTACACAGAATGGACTCTTATGAGCTTCAATCCATGTTATAATGCTGTTACCTCATCAGAAACATACCTGGAGCTGTGTTTTGTTTCATTCACACATTTTTGAGTAATCCCTTATTATTCTATTTATGTGTGAATGAAACAAAACACAAATGGACAAATGAAACACAACTCCAGGTATGTTTTTGAGAAGGAAACAACATAAGGTACAGTAGATCACTAAATGGCATAGTATGGGCCCTTTAACAATTTACTAAGACTAATGCGCTTATATAATCTGAACATATGGTACGGAAATTATCCCATTCATCACATTCTAGACACAAAATTTTCTATTCAAATCTCCATCTTTAGAAACACTGAATCCGCCGTGTAACGTAAGTGGTCTATGAGGACAAGGTTGTTCAGTGAAGCATAACATCATCACCGTGTCACCCGAGGCGTCCAATCAGTGACGCCTCCCAGAGCCCGGGACCCCTTAGCCCCGCCCAGATTCTGGCGTGACTCTGGAAAAGCCTCTGCATCCGATGAAATTCATGGATGGATATTTTGTTTAGTTGTGTGCCAAATAGGAAAGCAACAGAAATGAAACTGAAAATATTACAATATAAACGCAATGCAATGATCAGTAAAACCTGTATAGATATTTTCATATTTTCGCTACAGAAATTTAAAAACATTCATCTATTTCATAAACCAGTTAATAAAAATGTTGGGGACTTTTGAATGTAATGTCTGCAACTCAAGTAAAAACAGGATAAAAGAAGTATAAAATTCACATACAGTGGCCATATATTTAGACTTAGACAAACTTTATTGATCCACAAAGGAAATTATTTGGACACAGTAGCTCACACAAAATATTATTATAACAAAGAGTAAAAAAAAAAAAAAAAAAAAAGTGGTAAACAAGTACCAAAGTACAAAAAAAAGATAGTAAAATAGGTATCAAATAATTATAGAAATGTATATGTCAAAATAAAATAAAAAAATAAGTCATTGAAAAAATAATAATAATCATTTGGTACATGGTTTAGCTTTTCTGGTAAAGGGTTCGTCACCTGCTTGTTTCTATGGATATGTCATTGCTCTGCCTGGAATGTTCCACAGTATGACATTAAATAAACAGCTCTACTTTACATTTATTCAATTACAAGTGGTTTTATGGCTCAAAAATACCAGGAAAATCAGGCATTCTGACTGAATGGGGTCGCCTCTCCGCAGATCTGACCTGTAACTTGGTCTGGTTTGGTTTCCATAAAGCTAGAAAAGTTTAATACCAGACTGTGAAACATTCCAGACAGAGCAATAACATCTCCACGGAGAAAATACTTTGACAGATCCTTCACCAGAAAAGTTACACAATCCACATTTGAGATTTGATTTATATGTCTGTAACTATTTGCTTGTTGTAACTGAAAATGTCCCATTGTTTGGCTTGAACATATCATATCATAACTTTTTATTGTTGACTTGTTGCTAAAAACAATCTACAGATTTTTTTTTTTTTTTCATAAATTTGTACCAATATTTTCAACCTCATTTTAAGTTTTTGTTATTTCGAAAACTGTTTGTAAAGTGTCAGTATCAGTTTTACTCATCATTGCATTGTTTGTGAAATTAAGTCCTTTTTATTCAGTATTAAAGTAGATATAGGGCCGCCTTCTCTCTTTATTCTTTCTGAATCTTATTTGTGCA